TATTGAGCATATTAAGCATTCTAAGAGCAGAGATAGCTTCCTAAAATGTGTGAAGAAAAATGACCAGTAAAAGAAAGAAGCCAAAGAGAAAGGTACCTGGGTTCAACTAAAGCGCCAGCCTGCTCCACCCAGAGAAGCACACTTTGTGAGAACCAATGGAAAGGAGCCTGAGCTTCTGGAACCTATTCCCTATGAATTCAAGGCATGATGGGTGTTACAAATAAACTAATCTGTGGTCTATTTAAAAAAACAAAAACAAAACAAAACAAAAACCCTATTAGAGGTTCTCTCTCTTTAGCTCATGGAAGAAATAAATGAATAAACTTTTCTTAAATTAAAATAATTTTTTGCTGGAGAGTACAGATGTTTGCCAGAGAGGGAAAATGAGAAAACACCCACCAGTGAGGATGGCCATGCCGTAATCCCTTCTCCTTCATTTTCCTCTTAGGATTCTGAGCATGTGTGCACATGTGCATGCACCTGGCATGTTTTTCAAGCCCTAGGTCCAGGACTCAAAATAAGCAGTTTACCATGTGGGATCACCTGCCTTAGCTACCACACCACTGGCTGGCTCCAAATAAATAAAACTTTAAATATGTACCAGTTGTTGGAGGAAAGGATAACAGCTTATTTTTCTTTTTATTTATTTATGGAGAGAGATTTTTTACTAAAGGGCACATGTGCTTGCTGGAAAGACAGAGACAGAAAGCAAGAAATCCCCCCCAACACACACACAGAACACACACACCTGGGGGGGGGGGGGGCCATGCCACAATCCATTCTCCTTCACTCTCCCCTCAGGATCTTGGACCACACTCACACGCACCAGATGTGTATTTCAAACTGCTGTGTCCAGGACTAGAACTGTGGTCGGCCACGTAGGAGTCCAGCACTTTAAAGACTATGCCACCTGCTGGACCTGATAACAATTTCTTACAAAGCATAAGACATTTTGGAGTTAAGGAAATGTTAAATTCCCACAACACTCCTGGGAGGCAGATATTACTATCGATTCCCATTTTATAGGAAACTGAAGCTCAGAGAGATTAAATACCTTGTCTAGGAAGCTGCAACACTAGGACCTGAACTCACATCTGCTCTGTCCACCTTTTACTGAATCACCTGTGGGGACTACACAAATAGATGGATGAGCTGGCCAGCTGCCCCACGTGCTGCCATGGTGCCCATCTTTCAACTTTCCTGCCCTGTCTCCCACAGGCCACCCTGGAGAAATGTTCCACATGCTCTCAGCCCATTCTGGACCGTATCCTGAGGGCCATGGGGAAGGCCTACCACCCTGGCTGCTTCACCTGCGTGGTGTGCCACCGTGGCCTTGATGGCATCCCCTTCACAGTGGATGCCACCAGCCAGATCCACTGCATCGAGGACTTTCACAGGTCAGGCCTGGTCCACGCCCTGTCTCAGGATGTCTGGCCTTTTCCTCCTCCATCTGTCCTCCATGCGCAGTTTTCAGCCCTGGCCCTGTCATTCTCTTTGACATAACTCTTCCCCAAGATGTAAGACTATCGCTTATCTCTGGCCTCTCTTGTTCCCTCCTGCATTCCACCTTCTCTTGGCTCTACCATTAGTCCCATGTAACCCTGGGGTTTGATGGCCTTTTCGGTCCCTTCCACCCTAGAAAGTTTGCTCCACGATGTTCAGTGTGTGGTGGGGCCATCATGCCCGAGCCTGGTCAGGAAGAGACTGTGCGAATTGTTGCTCTGGATCGCAGTTTTCATGTTGGCTGTTACAAGTGTGAGGTCAGGGGGCCTGGGAAGGGCAAGGGGATTCTTGGGGTCTGGGATGCCGGGTATGGCAGAGCATGAGGGAGAAATAACCTGGGGTTCTGATGCTGATGGAAAGCTGTTGCTCCTTTCCTGACAGGAGTGTGGACTGCTGCTCTCCTCTGAGGGCGAGTGTCAGGGCTGCTACCCACTGGATGGGCACATCTTGTGCAAAGCCTGCAGTGCCTGGCGCATCCAGGAACTCTCAGCCACCGTCACCACCGACTGCTGAGTCTCCTAGAAGCACCTGTTACATTCTCAGTTCTCATTGATCCACCTCCCTGACATCTACCTGTACAACTTGGTTACCAAATGCTGTCTCCTCTCCCTGCAATCATAAAATAAGAATCCTGTAAGAGTTTACAAAACACTTTGTGTGAGTGTGCTATCTCATATGATTCCCACAGCAGCCCAATACCACGCCAGTTGGTTGTGCCTGCATTTTCACGTGTGAGAATGCCAGCACTGAGCCGTGACTTCCCAAGATGGCAGGGTTCTCAAATGCCTGAACCAGGGTCAGGATTCAAGTCTTCTTAGCTCTGGTCCATTTCTCTTATTTTCTTCCTTCTAGCTCTACTGCACTCTTTGTAATGTAGTTTGGTATAAAGATCCTCCTCTCAGTGCTGGAACATGCTCCAGGGAGGCAGCATCTCCTGTTCTTAAGCCTCACGCTGAGTTCATCCACAGGGGATTTATGGTATCCCTTCTGGGGAGTGGGGTGCATTTAATCTGGGCAGGCTGTATCTTGCCTATCACCCAGGACCTTAACCTACAGCCTATCTCATCCACATACTCCTTGGAGTCCAGACTGAGATAATGCTAATTTTGCTTAATGTCCTGGCGCCTTTCTCGAAGAGAGCAACAGCAGGTTGCACAAGTAGCGCATACCGTGTTACCAATAAAGGATGGTTCTCTGGTGGGAGCAGAAAATGGTGGGAGGAGGTGCTTTAAAATGGTTGCTCTACCCTCTTATCCACTAAACGCCCGCGCTCCCCAAGACCTTGCCCTGCGAGAGGAGGGGGCGAAACCATGCCCGGACGAGGTGTGGAGGGCCCCGAGCAAAGAGGCCGTGAAGGGCGACAGCTGGATGAGAACTGGCTCAGATCCTGGACGAAGGACAAATAAGGGAAAGTGCGACCCTCGACCTCGGGAGGAAACGCTCCTTTCACGTTCACAAGGCACTAACGTCTTCGCGAGGCTACACTTGGTCCAGCCCAGCTCCCGTAGTTCCTCTCGCTTGCGCAGTTCTCGTCCTCAGAAACGCGCGAGATTTCCGCTCCTTTCCCACCATTCCCTGTTCTTCCCCGCCGTTCGCTCCTCGCTTTCTTTCCAGTTCCGGCCGCGAGGAGCTTAGTTTGTGGTTGGAGGCCTAGTTCAGCGCGTGGCGCAGGCGCAGCGCGAGAGGCGCGCGCGGCGGCCAGTCCTCGGCTGTCCCACTTTTTGTCCCTGTCCTTGGCCCCCTCGCTGACAGTCCCGCGTCTCCCTCACGCCCTCCTCACCGTCCTCGTCGCGCGCCTTGGCTAGGCGCCGGCCCTGGTCACTCGGCACATAAGCCCGCCAGAGAGCGAGGCCAACGGCCGCGACCGCTTCCAGGTGGGGGAGGGGCGGGGCCTGGGGGCCGGGCTGGCGTAGGCTGGAGGGAGAGGAGCCCAGGGGCCGACGGGGGCGCGCAAAGAGACCCGTGGGGCTAGTGGAAGTACCTAGCCATCCCCTTGCTGGGGGTGGCGGGGGCAGCGGAAAGCTGGCCATGGCGCTAGGGAGGCGGGCACGCTGCTCCAGAGCGGTCCTTTCTTCTCGTCCTGCTCAGCAACTTGACCACCTCCGCTCGGGTCCCAGCCCCTCTCAGACCGTGCCATGGGTGACAGTGACGATGAATATGATCGAAGGCGCAGGGACAAGTTCAGAAGAGAGCGCAGCGACTACGACCGATCCCGTGAGAGAGATGAAAGACGTCGAGGAGACGATTGGAATGACCGGTGAGACACTTTAATGTTGTTCCTCGGTCTCATTCCGTTCCACTCCACCCTCATTGCTTTTCCTTATAATTTTGTTAGACTGAACCGTGTAACATCGCTCACTGGACCGTTTCCTGTGGTTAGACACTTATTTGCTACTACTGGCCAAAGAACAAGCTAAGGCTTGAGCTTTTAATGTCCTGAAGATCAAAGCAATAGAGCCAAGAGAGTTTGAGTGTAAAAAAACATTACTGTATGCACAGAGTAAAAGCGTGTGGGAGCTGGCCGGTGGTGTGGTTAAATGCACTGGATTCCCACAAGGCCCACAGCGGTTCCAGTCCCAGACCTGGCGGCTTGCTTTCTCGCTTTCCCTCTCTCACTCTCTGTCAAGTTAAAAAATAATAACAACAAATGAAATTAATTAAATGGCTTTTTTAAAAATGTATTTTATTTTGTAAATTATATCTTGAAAGAGTTTCTTTCAGAAAAAGTAACGTTACAGAATAGTTTTAACTGGAGAAGTTGTCATATCAGCTGCCTGGCAGAATGCAATGTTTCTTGTGCCGCGTATCTGAAGAATTCTTTGGGTAGTGCTGGCTTGGTTAATTGATAAATTGTGTTTGGATCAGCTCGTGATTGACTTTGGGAATGTTCATTCTTGAGTTAATTATTGTGAAGGTGTCTTCCTTAAGAAACTTCAGATGTGGTTTCAAATAAAGTAAACAAGATGAGGGACCAGCAGGTGGCATTGTGGTTAAGGCACCGGACACTCCCACATGGCCAACCAGTGTTCTTAAATCTGAGTCTTGAACCAGAGTCTTGAATCTAGTGGCTTGCTTTCTCACTTCCTCTCTCACTCTCACCCTCTCTCTCTGGTCAAATTAAAAAAAAAGTGAATGAATAAAATAAAATAAATATTAAAAAAAATAAAGTAACCAAGATGAGAGGAAATGTGGATGATTCTTTAATGGCAGTGCAAATACACATTCAGTGAGCTAATGGTAGTGTCTTGGTTTTGAAACAGGTTATCGTAAAGAGTTGTGAACGTACTTATCCGATATAGTTATAAAAACAAGTTTATCAAATCCATCCGTCTGTTGGTCAGCGCATCTGATTGTGGAGACTGTCTAGCTAGGCACGTTGCTTTTGTTGATATTTTCTAAAAAAGAAAATCTAAGTTTTTCTGAATTCTGAAAATTGGTAAAGTGTGGTTATGGCCTTTAGGGCCAGGTGTAGCGGGTAAAGTGGCCTTGGATGTATGCTGCAGTTTCGTGTATATAAAAGATCATCATAAAGATGCCAGGTGTTGGAACAGATCTTCACAGGAGGGAGTGTAGTGTTGGATATGGTATGTCAGGAAGAGCTACAGGACACTTGGCTAGACTTGAAAAGATGAGTAGGACTTCCCCAGACATAGGTGACATGAACAGCTTGGACTTGACATGACCTGTCCAGAAAAGAACACATAGTAATACTCAAATATTGTCATTTTCAATGTATCAACATTTGCACTGATGGTGTTGTAACAGTGTGGGGGGGTAAAGCTTCTGTAAAGACAATGACATCAAAGAGTCATAGAGAACCCATTACTTCAGTATTTGTTGCCAATGATGAAGTAGAACTTTACAGTGAAAACTAAGGTTTTAGTAAACTCATACCTACCAATGTGAGTTTGACAGTTTCCCAGTACTGAGCATGCCAGGTGTGTGTGCATGTGCCCATGATTCAGCCTGGCTGAGACTTGGGGTGGACTATGCAGGAAGACTTTGTTGGGAGTGCCAGTCTCTTAGTGTGTGTGTGTTTTGTGGAAGAGATAAACTCTTAAGGGACCAGCAGGTGGTATGGTAGTAAGGCACTGGATTCCCACATGGCCGACCATGGTTCAGTCCTAGACCTGGCAGCTTGCTTTCTCACCTTCACCCCCTTTCTCCAGTCAGGTTTTCAAAGTAAATAATAATAACAAAATTTAATTAATTAATTAATTAATTAAAAAAGAAAACTTTAAAAAGGAAGAGAGAAATGAGGATAGTGATGGGAAGCAACTGGTCTGATAGCCAGGATCCAGAGTTTGGAGCAGTTATTTACTGGCGTTTAAGTTAGGGCAGAGCATGATCCGATTTGTGTTTGAGAAAGATTACTTTGACAGTAAAGAAGTAGTAGGAGAGCTGAGAGGCAGGTAAACAACCAGTGCTGCAGTTGCAAAAGAAATGGCAGGGGCAAAGACGGACAGTTTGTGGGGATGGCAAAAAAGACAACTTTGAAAGGCTTTGATGTAGAGAATAACGGGATAATAATGAGTTAGTAGCAAGGGTAATACTTGATAACTGGGTAGGTGGTGATATGTTTATACGACTAAGAGTGGGAAACATGGAGGAGGGGAGTAAGTTTGGGCCCCCTTAGTGGTGAGAATAACAGTCTCAATTCTTTTTTTTTAAATAGAATTATTTATTTAATTTTATTTATTGTTATTTTTAAATTTGCTATAGGGCATGTGTACTGATCAGAGTGAGAAAGCAAGCCACTAGGTCCGGGATTGAAACTGTGGTTGTTTGGCCATGTGGGAGTCCAGCACCTTAACCATCATACCACCTGCTGGACTCCACCTTTAAAAAATAATTATTAAATTTTATTTAATAATTATTTTAAAATTCGGGCTCAGTTCTGACACAGTGAATTTGAGGTGTAGGGGACTTTGGGTATGGGATTATTAATGTGGGTCTGGAACTCAGGGAATAGGGCAGGCTGGAGAAAGAGTTGGAGAGCCATCAGTTTGTGGATAATGGCTAAAGTGATGAAAGTAAACAGGTATTTAAAAAAAATTTACTATAGGGCTTGTATGCTCCCTGGAGAAAAACAGAGGGAGAGAGAGAAAATGAGAAAGCATACCCCAGGGGGTATCCATTCTCCTGCTGGGATTTTGGGCACACATGCGTGCCCAGTGTGTTTTCCTAGCTGCAGATGGGGACTCTTGCTGCGCATTCAGCCTTGTGGAATCCATCGCTCTAACCATTGACTGGCCCCAAGCAGAATATTTTCTGTTTAGAGTGCAGCTTTATAGTTTTAGTGTTTTTTTTGTCTGGTATCTCATAGGAACGAAGGTCCATGTAGGAGTGTGGCCTTGGCATATCCAGCTGTATCTTTAATTACTGTTACTTGTCCTTATTTCCAGAGAGTGGGATCGTGGCCGAGAGCGCCGCAGTCGGGGTGAATATCGTGACTATGACCGGAATCGGCGGGAACGCTTCTCTCCACCGCGCCATGAACTCAGCCCTCCACAGAAGCGCATGAGGAGAGACTGGTGAGATGGCAATAGTTTATCTCCTGTCTCCTTTTAACCTCAATTCCACCTGGACCTCGGTTCTATTTCCTCACCTCAGCTAAAAGTGTTGTCATTTCCTTTTCTCAAATGTCCCACACAGCCATCGTTTCTTTGTCTTTTTAATAAACCCTTGGATGAGAGGCCGAGAGACCATGTTCTGTGTATGCCCCTTCCTCTGCTCTTGTGCTCTGGAGAGATGGTTCTGGTTTCTTTTTCTTTCTGACTTTTGTGTCCCCCATCCTCAGGGATGAGCACAGCTCTGACCCATACCACAGTGGCTATGAGATGCCCTATGCTGGGGGGGGTGGGGGCCCAACTTATGGCCCCCCTCAGCCCTGGGGCCACCCTGACGTCCACATCATGCAGCACCATGTACTGCCTATCCAGGCCAGGTAAAGACCTGCGTTCTGGGGTTCTTGGGGAGAGGGAGTTGGTAGGATTGAGGGGTGGGTCGGGGTTACTAGAGTTAGGCATGGAGGAGTGCCTGAGGGTTGGAAGCAGTTGTTGTTTGGGGTGATGTCCATGGTGGGTAGCAGAAGGGGACAGTTGGCTACTTTGGCCTCCCCGCCCCCCACCCTTTTTCCCCACAACCAAGACTGCCTGGCTGCCC